TGGAAGTGGACAGAGAGAGTAGCAGAGCCCAAATATAATTTCTTTACAACATGGTGTTGGATTAGAAAAAAATAACAAATAAACACACCATGCACAGCTTCTAGCTTCTGACATTCTTTCCAATCACTTTACCAGCAAAAGCTAAAAGATTCACCTATATTTTTTTCTGTATAACGAACATTATGTATGTATGTGAACTTAAGTTTTCCCCTTGCATTGTGTCTCTGTGTTCTTATCTACATACATACATATAGGTAGTCCTTGACTTACAGCCATAATTGAGCCCAGAATTATGATTGCACCTAATTTTACTGGGTTTTTTTTGCAGCCATTATTAAGTGAAAATGGTCATTTTTCTTTTGCTGGAAGCAGCATATAAACACTGATTTCCAGCAAAAATATCACAAATCAGGGACATGGCAAATGGCCTTAAATCAAGCTAGCTGTTGAGCAGCCAAATGCAGTCACGTACACATGGGAGAGGACAACTGTCCGAACATTAAATAAGTACATTTTGGGGTGGGTTATTATAACTTCCAAGAGTTGCTAAGAAACTGTTGTAAGTCAAGGACTATTTGTGTGTATATATACACATATGTACTGAAAATTACTGAATGAGCAGAATACCCTTTGCTCTTCACCATGTGAGCAGGAAGGGAGGTAGAGAATGCTCAGAATGGATAATATTGTGAACACCTGCTCAACTGCTTCTTGCAGGATTCATTAGGTATGTGGCATCAACTCAGTGTCAACTCTTAGCAACCACATAAGTAGATTTTTATCTGTGACTATCCCTAACCTGATTTTTCAGCTTTTCCAGCAGTGTAGCCATTGGCACTGTAACTAAATCCATCCATCTTGCTGTTGGCTATTCTCTTCTTCTCATTTCCACCTTTTCCAGCACTACAGACTTCTCCAGAGAGCTACATCTTTGCATACCATGTCTGTGTAGGCTAGGACATTTGTAGGTTGATTCATTCAACAATCCATTGGCCGCCTGCGTGGTACTGTATTCCCAGGCATCTTCTCTAACACTAAAATTCAAAAGCATCAACACTCTTCCCATTCTGCTCGCTCAAAGTCCATCTTTTGGTTCCATAGAGGGAATACTGCGGCTTACCAATTCTGATCTTTTATGATTCATTGGAGATTTTCTGGAATGCATTTCTCCACAACCTTGGCTAGATCCAATCTCGGCTTATCTTACCAGTCCAAATTTGATGTAGTTTTGGTTTTTGGAGAATTACTTTTCTGTTAGATAGAAGTGTCTATTCTGGTTACATTGGTGGAATATATAATTAAATACAAAATGATCAAACCATATTAATATTTAACAGATGTGTGGTATCGCCATGTCAAAAGCAGTTTGGAAGAGTTCTGCATGCTATAACTGCGCTGCCATTTATGATCCTCTACTAGGTGTTCATCACATAATCCACAAACATTTGTTTTAGCAGAGCAAAACTGCTCAGGCTGTGCATATAAAATATGAATAAACCTATCTTCAAGTATATTAATTCCCACATTTTAAGGCATATACCAGTGGTGGCGAACCTATGGCATGGGTGCCAGAGGCGGCACTCGGAGCCCTCTCTGTAGGCACACGCACTGTCTCCCCAGCCCCGCCTCCTCCCACGGCCACTCCTCACCAGCAGCCCCCCCAGAGAGTGACCCCTGGGTGCGGCCCACGCGAAGCAGCACAGCCAAGGACATGGTAGCCGGGCAGTGGGGACAAGACTCTGCCCTTGCACCTCGTTGTGTGATGCTGCTGTGGGGCATGGGCAAAGGGCGTGGCTGCCATGGCGCTGCTGGACTGTCTGGATGATCTGTGGAGGCTGTGGAGGTGGTGGGTGGCCCAGTGAGCAGGGTGGAGCAGGGATGGGGGTGGGGGTGGGCGGTTTTGGGGCACTCAGTCTCTAAAAGGTTCGCCATCACTGGCATATACTGTAGATGCTATTTGCATCCTAAGTGATTTTATTCTTACAAAAGGTATGCTTACAATTCTCTCAATATTTGCTTTTAGCAATCTGTGTGACTTACAGTATAAGAAATAGTGATTTCCCATAATTATATAATGAAGGACTTAGTTTCAAATCCAAGACTACTCTAAGGGTGTTTATGACAAACAAGTAAGTTATGGTGGCTATTTATAGACTATCATGCTGTGTCTACAACCATATCACTTGCACTGTAAGCATGAAAATAATGTGAAATTATGGACACCTCTGCTTCTCAGTAATGTTGCATCAGTGTTCTCTAGTGTCAGGTAGAATAGCCTAGCATCCTGTTCGTAGGACAAATTTTTGCTTATAATTCTCAATCTGAGAGAGTGACCAGCCATCTTCTCTATAAAGTCTTGCTGGTCATTCCCAAGAACAGCAAAGCTGATTGTCATGTGACCCTCTAGTCCAGGGGTGTCAAACTCGCAACATCACGTGACGTGTCGCGATGTATCGTGACATTTTTTTGCCATTGCCGGCAATGACACCCAGTGCATTTTTATAGAGGGAAGGTGTTTATGTAGCACTTTGACATGCAAATGTATTTACCTTAAGTAACTGATAAATTTCTTTTAGTGAAAAAACACAGTTGAAGCCTCTTGTTTACAAAAGCCATCTCAACAGCTAAGAACACACCAGAGGCCCATTTCCCTATAATGTTTCATAATGTCCTTTCCTACAGGTTTTAACTCTTCATTGTTCTTTTTTTAAATTCCCTTTGCCACTACAGGCCTATAGGACTCATCAGCAGCCTTTCATATGTAGCCAGCATACATTGTGGACTGCACGTGAATTTAGGGCACTGATTCTGTTCACTGACAGAAGTTTGGTTCCATATTATGCAAAGCTAATGAAAGGCTCAACAAGATCAGGCACTATTATTATCCAAGCTCAGAGCAGTTAGTTCTGGATATACAGAAATTAAAATCTGAAAACAAGGCTGGTGATGATGGATGATTAGTTTCTGCAACTCCAAAACGGATTTATACCACTGGAGTTCAGAACACAATATATCTCAATCTGATTAATAAAATATATTCTCTGCAGTGTCCATTTCTGCAAGATGTTTTCCTGTGGCACATACCTTCTTATTGATCCATTACCTCCGGCTATCATGTCATGTAAACATAACTAATAATGTAAGATTTAGATCAAGGCTTAGAAGACAGCTTGACCTCTAAATCTTTTCTGCCAGTTTCTCTGGGGACCAAATTTCTCCTTCTGGCCCCACTTTGGACAATCAATCTGGTTGTTTGCATCATATTCTGTCACATTGGCAATTTGGCATAAAGGTCTGTATTTTTTTTTTTTAAATGCATATGAATAGTAGAGTTGCCTCCATAATCACATTTGACCAGCCCTGACATGACCTGGAAGGGGGAAGGAATTCCTCTCTAACTACTGTAGGTGAAATGCCCTAATTTATATACACGGGAAAAAGACTGAGAAAGCAGCATTTTTCTATTGATGGCACATACATCGGTTCATTTTGTTTCACTGTCACCTTAGGTAAAGTAGGTTTTGCTGTTGAAGTTATAGATAATTTTGAGGGGGGGAATTCTTAAGAGGCAAACCTGGAATGTTATCACAGCAGCAATAATGTTTCCTCTGTAGTGGGAATTACTGTTTTATGCTTCAACTACAGTCTGAATTAGAAATCTTACCTCTAGCTGCCTCCCCTCCCCTAAAAATCCACAAATTCCCATTTCTGTTCAGGTGTTTTACATGAAATACTTAAATTGTATTTTGCATTTCCTCGCTTGTTTAACAACATCAGAATCGCATATATTTGTTGAAATTTGTTTAAATTCCGCTATCATATGCAATATCTTTTAGGGTGGGTGGGAAGAAGTACTTAACAAATGTTCCTCTAACAGCGAAAATGCCAATCAACAATTGATAACGGACATCTTTTAATAAAGTTTCTGGAACAGAAAAGTGCTCGTCCCTCAGACCCTTTCAAGGAAACGACCACATATTTAAGAATTATTATTCAAATTTACAACCGTTTCAGAACTATTTCTCAGAATCCCGACCGAAGAGAAACCTTGAATTTTCCAGGGAGGAAGAGGTTTTAGCCGTTAATCAGCCAGACTTAGATGTGAAATTGGACGGAAATCTCCCACTTCTCTTCCCTCTCATAAAGTGGAAGTTAGGTATGGAAGCAGCTGTTCTCCATAAATCGTCTGGCCCGAGACATATTTCTGCTGGTCTTCTGCCCCCCAGCCCCACCCCATCCTTCCCAAGGACGAAATTAAGTCCCCACGAAGACTTATTTCCAATTATACGCGCTCATCTTCGCCAATGCTGCAACCTCAAAAGTCCTCCAGGAACGAACGCCAAGAAAAGGCTTGCAAAGAAACCGTGGACAAATGGGATCCCGAAAAGGCCACAAACGAGACTAAAAACGTTTCATGTTTGCGTCTCAGGCCCCCCCCCCGCGTGAAAAGTGATCAACGCCATCCATTCTATTTGCCTTCCATGCCACAAAACAACTTGTGGATCCCTTCTTGCCGTGAGACAGTTGTGTTGCAGAAACGCGGCCTTGCCCTTGAGTGAGAGCGGCTCGGACTTGCACGCAACCTGGCTCGTTTGCACCCATCCTTGGGAATCAACGGCATTAGAATGGGCGGAGGAGACGTGTCTGATTGAAATCTTTCCTACCAGCAAAGTCAGCGAAGTTTTGGTGGCGCCTTCAAGACCAACCCGGTTATTTTAAGAACCGCGCCACTACGTTTCGGCAGGCTGCAAATACTGCAAGTGGGCTATCCCAGAGATGCTTTTTCCAAAAGGCAACTAGACTTGCTTGGGTTTTTTTTTTCTTTGAAAATGTTTCGCTTCTCATCAAAGAAGCTTCTTCAGTTCTTCTTGGATGAGAAGCGAAGGTTTTCAAAGGAAAAAAAAACCCAAGGAAGTCCAGTTGCCCTTTGGAAAAAGCACCTTTGGGACAATCGCGACATGGATGACTGAGAATCTCCACAGATATTTGCAAGTGGGCTAAAACCTGAAGCTGTCACAAGCTTCCGACCCAAAGGCCGTTGTCTCCCAGCCTCCCTTCTGCAAGGAAGCTCATAAACTGGGCCCAGCCGGGGGGTCAGGCTTGCAGAAGGCTTTGGGGGGTGGAGCCTAGAGCTCCCGGGAGTGGATCCGGGCTCTGGAATATACCTCGAAACAAACAGCAAAAAAGTTCAGCAAGTTCCCCATTTGACCCGCGTCTTTGCAAAGGGACGAGGTGCGCTGCTACTTTGCACGGCTTTGCTGCCACCTGCCAGCCGGCTCCTCCAGAGATCGCAGCCAAGCCCAAGCAACCCTTTTTGCAGGCCAAGGCGAACTGTCCCCTCCGGGGACCCTCGCCCGTCCTTTCAGGCTCAGATTAAAATCGAGCCCTTCCTTGCAAAGTCGAGCAATTCTTCGCAATTATTGGCTCCGAAAGGCGCGATGCCTAACGAGACCTCCTTCAGTAAACCGTCGGCTTCCTCGGAGCATCACACCCAGGGGACCAAAATGGGCCCTTTGGGGAAGTCTGCCGGGCTAGCGGCCACCGGAGCCGGCGGCAACGCGGGGGGTTTAAGCCAGGGCCCTGCTGGGACCGCCACCGCTGCGGGGAAAAAATCCCCGCGGCTCCCCAAGTGCGCGCGCTGTAGGAACCACGGCTACTCCTCGCCCCTGAAGGGCCACAAGCGGTTCTGCATGTGGAGAGATTGCCAGTGTAAAAAATGCAGCTTGATCGCCGAGAGGCAACGGGTGATGGCCGCCCAGGTGAGCAGCCGGAGGGTTAAACAAGAAATGGCGGGGACCCGGCTCCGGGGCAGAAAAAGCACAGGGTGGCCTTATTACCGCTCGGTGATGCTGGTTGGAAAATAAGGCTAGCCTCATTGCCTAAAATTGTATCCCAGAGAAATGGGTAGTTTTGACCTGCTGTGTAAAAAATTCTTGGATACTTTTTTTTGCAAGAATCGTTGCCAGAGTTGAGAATAAATTGGGAGGAAAGTATATCCCGCACAGCTTAAGATACTGTTCTGGCTTCCAACAAAACTATGCATAGCCTTTTTATTGTCCAAATAATATCCACTATGTAATTCAACGTTATTGTTTGTTTCCACTTTTTTCCCCCTTTCTTAGCATTCGTTCAGATAGGGTGGGCTTCCTAATTTTCTAGGATTGACTTGCAGATAATAATGATTATTATATAGTGTACGGTATCTAAAAGGAAAAGCAGAAATAGGGTGGGATTGAAAAATCCTGCAATGGATAATGCAAATTGCATAGTTGCATTTGTGTGAGACTGATTCTTATAGTGAAAATAATGCTTAATAAGGTAATGAAAAGGCGGTAGGTTCTAGTCCTACATCCTTACTAGGTCAATGAAAGACTCATACCATTAGTTTAGTTTTTAATCAATGAAGATTTAATGACGTCAAATTCTACTAACTGCACAAGCAGCAACATGTTTATGTCTTCGTTTTCAGTTACAAGGTTTAAAATTCAGTGAGTGAAAAAATATTTTTGCAAAATAATGTATTCAGCATTTTGAGTTGCAAAATCATTGTATTAAATTTTTTTCCTGTTGGAAAACAGTAAATTAATATATTTTTCATTTCTTTTTTTTTCATTCAAAATGTTTAGCTTGAATCATGAGGAATTTGAAAAATTATACTGAAGTTTTCAAATATCAACATTTTAAAGGTTATAAATAATTGTAAACTATAAAAAATGTTTATGCCATTTCTGAATACTTTGGAAAGACTGCTGTCATAATCTTTCAACACTTCTTTTTTCAATGTAGCCTCCCCCTGTTTAGCAATCTCCAGATGGGTTGGGAATTGTAGTCCAAAACATCTCAAGAATGCCAGTTTGGCAAGTCAAAAGTAGAATGCCATTACGCTGCATGACCATCAGTGCCCAATTCTTTGGCTTATCAGGGTGTTAATTTTTTTAAAAAGAAATTGGCACAAAAACCACATGGATTTACACTTTCAAGACATTACAAAAGGGCAATTGTTAAATACTATTTTTGCACTTATCTAGAGTTATGTCCAATTGAATGTCATGGGATTTTAAGCAACAACTATCTAGGTCAAAATTTCCTGTACTACAATCTCAGTAATTATTATGCTGGTTTGCCCTGTTTTGCTTTTTATCTTAAAAAAAAAAGTTGTTCCCATTGCTTTAAGTGATTATGAGCAAACTTCGTATTTTGGAAAGACTTTCTTCTGCAGAGTGTAGTCATCTCCTTTAAACCTAAGTTGTTTCTTTCAAATTCTCCAAAGGAAACAACCACATTTTTTACTATTAATCCAAGATTGGGAAGAGGATCCTATAAAAGGGAATTGCTTGTAAAGAGAGGGAGTATAGAATGAAGGTAAAGATGTAATAAAAAATCACTATTTCTTAAGAGGTTTTGTTCATTTGTATGGACTTAATAGGTAAGAAATAATTTTGATCTCCTTAAGACTGTTTGCAAGTAACAAGTAAATAAAATATGTATTGCCATTAGGAAATGATTTTAACTATGAGTTTGAATGAGCTCACATTCATTAGTGATAATTTGCAGTTCTTCAAAGAATCATTTTAAAATTTTGATTTTGTTCGTAGTTTTTACATTCAATACTTCAAGAGGGTCACTGTGGCAGATAAGAAGCAGACCAGTGTCCAAAGAAGCAGACCAGTGACCAGAGAGGAGTGGTCATGCAGGAACACAAACCATGAACCCCCAAACACACTGCAGCTGATCACCTGACCTCAGCACCATGAAGAATGGGTGCCAGAAGTTGCAGATTTAATCTGCCTTCGTATTATGATGGAACAGTGGGTAAAACTCATTCTGATAGTGGGATGGAGTATAGTGAGGAGACTCTCCAAGAGGGAGAGGGTGCAGTCCAGAGGAGTAAGAGGCAACTCAGTCTGGACATTACATGTGAGAGAAAAAGGGTGAAGACAGCTCCTCTCCAATAGTTTACATAGTATATTGTAGATGCAGATAGTAGAGTCCTCAGTCTGACAAGATTTTTGTCTATACAGCTATGAAAACAATAAAGAAGTGTGGAAGAATCATGTGTCATTCTTGGGTTTTGGCTAATGGATACATGGAAATGATGGCATAAAGCTGTTTAAATCATGGGCTGAACCTACCAGATGATCAGGGAAGAAACTTGGGTAGTAGAGGCCCACTGATGCCTCTATAAACTACAAATGGGACAGGGTTTTAGAAGTTCTTCAGTAGTTCAGTTTACATCACTAAAAAAGAAGTGATTGCTAAATATAGTCTGGTTCTGTTAGCAATCATTTATAAAAAAAAATAAAGATCATCTATGAGTTAGGGTTTTGTAATATAGGTCTGAATTATAATCTCATATTTTAGCTTTTATTTGATTGGCATGTTCATTTAAATACAAGTAGTCCTCGACCACAATGGAGCCCGAAATTTTCATTTTTAAGCAAGACAGTTAAGTGTGTTTGTGCATTTACGTTCTTTTTTGTCACAGTTGTTAAGAGAATCACCTCAGTTGTTAAGTGAATCTGGTTTCCCTCATTGACTTTGCTTGTCAGAAGTTGTCTGGTACTGTTACAAATGGTGAATATATGACAATGAAACAGTCCAAATGTTGAAAATACCTGAATTTAGATCATAGTGTTGCTGCAACCATTGTAAGTGTGAAAACTGGTGATAAGTCATTTTTTTCAGTGTGGTCGTAACTTCAAACAGTCACTAAATGAATGGTTACAAGGTGAGGACTACTAGGTAGATACTGCAATCTACCTAAAGAGGACAAGAAATCCCTGTCCTTCTCTAGCAACCCTTTGAATTTCTGCAGGACTACTTGGCTTGTTTGTCATACTAGCTACATGGAAGAAAGGTAGAATATCAACACCTTACCAAATTTCTAGTCATCTCTTGAAAAAGAATGAGGATAAGCCTAGACTTTGTCCATTTAAATACCATATGTTAGAAAGCATTACTAAACAGCTAAGTCAAGTAATAATAGTAGTAAAGCAACATACCTTTTGTTATTCAGACAATTTATAAGTTTAGATTTAGTCTCATACTTAAATATGAGAGTTTAGTGTAAAAACTAAAGTCTTAGTGTCTAATCTGGCCTTCCCAAAGTGTTGCTCTCTAAATGTTATGGACAACAGCCTTCATCAGTCATTGTAACCACATGCCATTTGGGAAATTTTAGTCTTACACATGTGAAGATAACCGATAGGGAGAAGTTATTAAACCAATGGTTCTGTATGTATATCAGTTTGCTTCTAGGCTAAATTAAAACTGATCTGGTTAATACCTGAATGGAAACTCAACAGAAATTGGAAGGTTAATATAGGCTAAACTTGGGGGGAAAACACAACTAATAAGAACAACTAATAATAAATCTCTTCTGTATTGCTACAAAACTGTCTGGGCAAAGACTGATCAGAGTTAAGCTTGGCTCAAAAGGAATCTTTATCATTTGAAGAAAGGATTGAATTTTAGCCTGTGCAATCCAGGGCATACAGGTAGTCTTTGATTTATGACTACAGTAAGGACCAGAACTTCCGTCTCTAAGCAGTGTGGTTGTTAAGTGAGTCATGCCCAATTTTACAAACTTTTTCCCATGGTCATTAATCACCGTGGTCTTTAAGTGAATTACACAGTCATTACAGTGTATCTAGCTTCCCCATTAACTTTGCTTGTTGGAATCTCCTTGGGAAGGTTGCAAATGGCGGTCACGTGACCCTTGAACCATTGTAAATACATGCCTGTTAGAACTGTGTGGAAGCAAATGGCTTGTATCTACTAGCCTGATCCTAGATATGTTGCAAACTGCAGCATTAGATTTGAAAACTGTAATTATAGTAAGGCTCTCAGTTCTGGGCTGCAAAAATCTGAATGACAACCAGATGGCAGCAAAAAGAAAAATAATTTTTTGCAGCCCAACACCAGCAGACCTAATTGCCACGAAACATTTCTGATTCAGAAATGTTTAATTTCAATACCATTACTTATAAATATATTGGTTGCAATAAAGTTGTAGTTGCTTAGGTGTATGAGAGTGTGAGGATCAAATCTTCCTTGCAGACTCTGATGCTTTGAACTTCAACACCCATCATCCCCAGCCACAACACTGTTGGGATTATAGAAATTACAGCACATTTTATCTGGAGTGTCTTGGCTTGAAAAAAATGCTTTCTTAGTTTTAAAAAAAACTTACCTCTTCAGCTGATCCAAACTTAATCTGTTAAAAAGATGCAAAAGTTCTACATTTCCATTGAATTAATATCAGTTGACTTGGTTATTAATGTTTTCCTTCCTGGTGCATTAAATGTTAAAATGTGTTTTGGTTTAATGATATTTGTATGCCTGTTTTTGCTTCCTTTAGCTCTGGTATTACATCTGCCTCTTGTTTCTGCATTCTGCTTCTTTCTTATCAGTTAACCTACTTTTTCATTTTGTACCAGTCTGAAAAAGCCATACAGTATTATTCCTTCTAGTTAATTCTCAAAATTTGGTGTGTTTAGAACATATCAAGTTTGAAACAGGCCATCCCAAGTCATTTTGAAAGTCATTTTGTGCTCCAAACAATTTTGTTTCCGCTAAGAACACTTTCAAAATAATTGAACTAGTCTTTTTGTATTTAAGACAGGCATCTTTTGAGTTCAGAACAGTTCAGATTTGAAACATTATTCACACTCTTGCTCAATATTATGTAACTGTTAAAGGCTCTGTGCTATGGAAAAATGCCATTTCTTAATGGTAACTCTGAATGAGAGACATACTGTATATATTTTACACATGTGCAATTAAGTGGCCCAGAATACATAGTCTTGTTTCACTTTGTTTATATTGAAACAAGCATAAGATAATTTATAAAATAGTGTTCAGGAAAAATCTGCCTGGATTGGCTTCAGTGAGATTTCTGTAAAAGAGTGCTTTGAACTTTAAACGTGATTTTAATTCTTCTCCAGAGCAGAATAGGGCTTTGATTAATCTCACATTTACTGCAGAAATTCTGTATCAGGTACTATATTCTTTTGCTTTAATAAGGCTCACATCCTGAGATGCCCAAAAGACATCTCATGCATATGCGATAAAGATGAAAAATTACGTTGTTTATGAAAGGTAGATGCTGTTAATCCTACTCACTCTACTAGACTAAATCCTTCGTTAAAAAACATGAAGAGAATCTCCATCTCTGGTTTTCAATAAAAAGGGTTCATTTAATTATAATTGAAATTGATCCTTCAAATCCAAAGATCTGAATTGGTCTGCATTCCAGGGGGTTTCCAAACTCACTAAAGCAAAGGGTTAAAAAATATCAGTTAGTTAAGCTTAGATAGCTGCCAAATTAGAAATCTTATTGGTAGATGCTTACCTTTTAGTTTTTAAAAAAATATTTATCTTTATCTTTTATCTTCTTTAATTTTTTAGTTTTAAAATTACATCTTAATTTGCATCTATAAACCTTTATTGTGTGTTAAGATGAAGAAAACTGCAGTACTCTACCCAAATTTGCTGCTGCTGTTTGTCAGATAACAGTGCAAATACAGTGTAACTTCCCCTTTTCCAGGTTGCATTGAGAAGACAGCAAGCCCAAGAGGAAGAGCTGGGGATTAGTCACCCCATCCCTTTGCCTAGCGCCACAGAAATGTATGTGAAGAAAGAAAACAATGCCAACAGTTCCTGCCTGTTGGAAAGCACCAGCCCACCACAGTCAACAACCACAGCAACTGTAGTATCTACCTCATCCACAGGTAAGGCCCTGGGTAAAGGGACCTCCTTCATAGTCTTTGCATCTGGAAAGAATTGGATTGTCATGGGTTTCTTGGACTCTAACAGATCTAATTTTATTTCAGTAAACCAAGGATGCATGTATAAAAGAATGTACAACCATCTTGTTTATGTTACATCTTTACAACATGCATTCTTTTAAAGGTATCATTTTGGCTAAGGTTGAAGAGCCTGCCTTAATCAAATTAAATTATTTGTCCATACATTCAGTGTTATTTCTTTAGACTCTGTTCAGTTTAACAGTAATTCAGAAGAAACCCTTTAGACTAAGGATTTTGAACTTTTCAGCCAGAAAAATCTACTAATTAAAAAAATATATTTGCAGGATTCCTGTTCAAAAGGGCCCATATTACATCACTGTTTCATGAGCTGCACTGGTTGCTGGTGTGCTTCCAGGTGCAATTCAAGGTGTTTGTTATCACTTTTAAAGCCCTGCATGGCATGGTTCTAATCTACTTGAGGAGCCATCTCACCCCAATAGGAGTGGCCCACCCCACCCATGCCAGCAGAGGGGGCATATTGTGGTTCCCATCAGCCAAGGAATTTCAGCTGGCGGAATCCTGGAGAAGAGCCTTCTCTGCTGTGGCTCCAGCTCTGTGGAACATCTTACCTCCTGAAGTGGGGTAAGATTCCCACACTCCTGATGTTTCAAAAGAGCCTTAAGACCTGGTGCTGCCAGATGGCTTGGGGACCCAATGGGGGAGCTTCTTACTGGAGCTGGTTGACTAATTAAAACTTAATCTCACCTTCCCACCTCTGTATGTCTGGCTCCCTCCTTTCTGGTGTTAGTGACTTTATTTGTTAATGATTTTATCCATTGTGGTTCAATGATTGTCAATAATATTTTTAATGGTTTAATGTTTTTTGCTGTAAGCATTAATGGTTTAATGTTTTTTGCTGTTGAATATGAGATGGATGCAAATATATTACATACATACATACATACATACATACATACATACATAATATAACATAAAATGGCAAAGTGCTAGTGATAAAGGATTAGCTGCATTTGCATGAACTTTTTTTTCTGTGTTCTCAATGTTTGTTTTAAAAAAGCCCTGTTTTAGATTTCATGAAGTGTGGTGTAGTTCTGGTATTCATTGTGGCATTATTTTTTTCGAGGTGGTGGTGGTGAAGTTGCATGAGCCTAAAGAAAGTTGTGGCTGCATTAAGAGACACTTTGGCTTTTGAAGCCTTCCATTTTTGCTGAAACCCAGAGGTTCAAACATGTGAACCACAAATGAAGGATGCTGCAAATCATAGTTCAGTGACCACTGAAAAACCCTCGGATCTCAGCTGGCTTTAAAATAAAGCAATTTTAACTGCAGCCTGTAGTTTAATTTAGTTACTTTGAAAAATTGCACTCCCTCTAAATCTATGGATTATGCAGAACTTCAATTCCTTCATTCTGAGTTATACAGCCAGTAAGTATTGTTAAGAACAGGCTACTGTACAGCTATACAGAATGCTATACAGTATATGATTTCTTATTTATAAGTTCCTCTGAGTTTGAGCAGAATTGGATACCAGCAAAATAAATAAATGTTCAGGTACAGCTTTAATAAGTCACAAAAGTCAAAGGCAGCCTCATAATTTGTGTTTCGTTCCTCTCCCTAGTCGAGACAGTTTGAGCAGCCACCATTATTGTCCACAAGTCCATGACAACCAGATTTTTCATTTGACAACTCCAGAAAGCAGTGGGTTCACTCCTTTCTTGTGAAGGTTTTCTCTCCCTCCCACTTCCTTAGAGGTATAGCAGTTTTTCTTTCAAACTTCATCACACTCTACATGGTTTACCGAGAGAGGAATAGGGTGTGAAGGAGCTGCACAAATCATACAAGGTACCAGAAAAGTCTTTTTTTCGCTGTATCCATTTTATTGGCAGGTCAGAAATATTATGGCACATTGAAAGGCCAGAGTCAATTTTTCAAGCCTCTGGTGACACACCATGCTTCCTTGAGGGGGGAAAAAGTAAGACAGAACAGAAGGGGGGGGAGGAGAGAGGGCTTACCATTATTTTCATTCCTCAGTCCTGTCATTTGTGTTTCGGTGTGTTTATTTTTAAAACTGGTTATGCAAGTGGAGATCAAGAATGTAAAAGAATCCTGAAAATGCATGTTTGGAGCCTGAATATTCTGCACTTCTTACCGAAAAGAGTCTAATCTTAAGATTGTATCCTAAATACATCACCATCAGTCATGATAAAGGAGGAGAAACTGGATGAGTTACATGAGAAAACCAAATTATGAAGATGTTTCGATAGCTAAGAAACAAGGTGTTTGTGTGAGGAAAGAGAGAGAGAGAGGGATTTGTATTTTTACTGTGGCTGTGTTTCTTATGTACTTTTCTCATTATGACAGAGAACATAATCCGTCCTTTTCTCCTGGGCTTGGGCCATTCAGAATCATATCTTAATTTAAGCATGACACTGACTGCTTCTGGGTGTGTTTGAAATGTGACTTGGTCACATGACGTGGGCAGTCATAAAGCACATACCGTGTGGATCCCTCTGCAAGAGATCATTTTTCATCTCTTGAAGAATTCAATGTGTGTCTTGGTTGCCGAAAAGAAAGAAAAAGGTGGTTTGATAGAAGAATGCAGCAGACTGCTCTTGAGGGAAAATAAAACAAATTCTCACATATAATTTAAAAGGGGGAAAAGGAAGGATTATATTATCTGTTTTTTAAGAGCAAGACAAACATAAATAAGGACTGTTGACCCATCCTTCCCCTTCCTGCCTTCTCTTTTTTCACTTGTACATTGTTTGAGCAGATTATGGCCTGAGAGTTTGCTAAGGAGGCATCTGCTTGTGAAGGGGTTCATTCATATGATTGTTTTTTTAGATATAATGGTGGTTATTCCTGATTTTAGTTCAAAAACAGACCATCTGTGCCTCCCAATCCAATTCTTTTGGAACCTCTCCACCATCATATTAAACATTGGTGTATAGTTTCAGCTAAGGCCAAAAAGCCTTCCTTAAAAAAGGCTTAATGCAATTTTTAAAAAAAATCTCCAAAACTCCATGGTATAAGTAAAATTCAAGCCTTCCTCATATTTAAGGCCTACTCTGACTTTTGACTTCTCATCCATATATTGGTGAAATCTGGCCAGAAAAAGGTTAGCTCCTCCTTTGTTCTGTTTTATAAAATTGGAACATAGCTATGTTTAATACCTGCTTTCAATCACTCCTGGTTAATCCTTACTTTTGTCCCAACCAAATGCTCATAGGATTTAAAAATGTCCTTCCATAATCTTTTCTTAAGAGATTGAACTATTTAGCAAGACCAAAATTTAATACTTAACTTTTATTAGATTGAGGACTCAGAAAAAAGTAGTTGTATTGCTAATTTTTCTTTTGGATACATTAATCACATTTGGTGGGAACAGTCTGCTATTATATGAATACAGTTTTACATTAATAATTCTGCAGGTACGTGCAAAAGCTATTTTTACATGCAAAGCCATTTTTTAGATTTGGCCCACTCCAAATATTTGGACGATTTGACTAAACATTCTGGAAGTTTCATTTATTCTATCTGAAAGATGCTGGTATTAAAAAACAAAATATCATGTTTCTTCCCTTTTCATTTGCTTACATGTAGTTTATGGTTTCAGTCATAAAAAAATCTGTGAGATAAAAACTACTGGAATGAAGATGGTCAGTAGGTAAATTGGTGGTGCAAATTAGTATATATGTGTAAAACTTCTGTACAAATGTTTGATATTTATTTACAAAATAAATGATACTGGAAATATCACTAATGATCATTTATTTAAATGATTGCAATCTGATTTATGGTTAAATAAATTATAAAGATTACTTGAAACCATATAGTTCCACAAATGAAAAAGTTAACTTAAAAAAAAATAGGACTGAAATTACATGTTGTCTTGTCTAACTGATATAGACTTGGGGATTGCTAGAATTATTTTAATCTCCAATTAATCCATATATTCTCCTACAATATATCCATGAAGAGCTTCCTAGATCTTCATACTAACAGAATTGAGTATTAAAAGGCATACTGTAATCTTCACGGTGCTTCTACAATCCACCTCCATGAAAGGGCTAATTGGAACAGAGAAGGGAAAAAGCAAACCTCTTCTGAATTTATAAATATCCTATTAAATATTCAAACTGGTGTATTGCAATCTATTGTACATGGAGGCTGCATGATTTGAAGTGTTCAGCTGGAATGCTGTGCAATTACCCAGTTTTGCAAGGAAAATAGAGTATTCAGTATTTGATTATTGCTAGCCCCTTACCAATTGATCATATCTGAGTTCAGATTCAGGTAGATGGCTTTCGTTTTGTTAAAGCTTTAAATAGCTTGAGAGAGGCTAAAGTTAATAACTATTAATTATTTACTACATTGGCTTTCCTCCTACAAATAAAAATCTAGCATATAGTATTTATTTTTCTGTCTCTTGGCCATATTGGTTACAGAAATGCAGCATGGATGCTGACTTTAGCCATGCCATTCCATTCTTGGTTAACAATCAGTGCACTAAATAGTTCATTCCCAAGTCCTTAAAAGTGGTGATCAAGGTAAATGTTCAGCATTTATCAGCCTGTTCTGCCATATGTATTGGCAACTGGAGATCCGGGAAGTGAAGTCATCAATACACCTAGTGGGGATGAAGAGGGCTGGCATATTTTTAAAACTATTGGGATAATAGTAATGAGCTTTGAATACCAGTATCATGTAGGGTCTTTGCCCTTTTCCAGGATCAATCAAAGACTGTGTGAGCTCATGCTGTCACCTCTATTTAGCAGTTGAACAGATTTTTTTCCCCACCAGTGCTGTACCGCATCTGGAGTAGTAGTGAAGGCAACTGTTTTGTTAAACTTTTGGAGAAGGGTGAGTCAGTTCCCATTTGGTGATAACTGTTGTTATCTTGCCTCCCGACTCCTGGATGCTGTTTAGCCAGTCTTCCTATAGAGCTTCAGATGCTGACC